TTTTTGTGTTAAAGAGGTCATTATTATCAGGTCATAGTGGCTTGCCTTAAAATATTCGAATCTACCGACTGTCACTCAAGTTCAACAGTTATTTACCGCAGTGTCAGCCACGTAAGGCAAACTTACCACAAGAAAAACGTTCTTCTTTTTGAAGATATTTTATGTGTCGTAGGGACAACTGGCTGAACTTAAAACACACCTTGCATTGTACTTACCTAATAAGGGAATGACTCGATGTGATCGGAAATTAAGACTTGTGGCTAAGAGGCAAATTCCTAGAAATTTATTACGCGAGTGAGTTTCTTCGGCCAAATGGCTCGGTTAAATTAACAGCGCGAGCACAGTTTGATCACGGATTTTAATTAAAAATGGCGCATTTCGCCATGACAGAACTGAAGGAAATTACAAGATCATGTACCCCTCGGTCGCATTAGAAAAGTTGATGTAGCTAATTTGTTATATAACCTTTCGTAACCTCTAGCTAATGGATTTCGCCTTACCTAATCTAAAGTAGATCCAGTACGGGACAGAAAACACCCCAACCATTATGTCAGCGACGGCGAGCGAGACCAAATAGTAGTTTGTTTTGGTGCGAAGCTTTCGATTCTTGTAAATAGCTGTGCATACAAGAGTATTTCCCGCTAAAATGACGAGGCTTAAAAGGCCAAAGAACAGTGATTCGGCGATCAATGCCTCGCTTGTTGTTTCGAGTTCTGTGCTGTTAGGAGGCATGGCAGCCTTGCGCATCCGTGATTCTCACCTGGAACAAAAGCAAACAAATGTGGTTCAGTTAAGACAAGTTATTACAAACCAACCTAGCACGGACGAGTTGTTAGTGCCGGTCAATATCTGTGCTTGCTCATCCGGAATAAACAACATCTCTTTTACCCTGAAATATTTAGCCGGTTAGCAAAATCCCGGTCGAGATTATGGCCGCGTAACTTTTAGTTATAACCAGAAAGCTGAACAATGAGTGACTTCACAATACAGAGTTTGACAACAACTCTTCGACAAGTCTATCAAAGATGCACTTCTAAGGGTAAACAACTTGCGTTGTTTACCAGACACGTGTCTGTCAAAAATATTAGTTCCAGCTTTCTCAAGTACATGAGGTCAGTGGTCAGAATTTTTCATTACCAGTTCTGAATGAAGCGCTACAACTGCGTGAAATGATCGCTTCCAACTCCTTTCAAACGTAAACCATATCCTGACGCGGAAAATTGTACGATTCACTATTCATTTTATCCCCGCGTTGTCCAAATTAAACCTTTTCAGCCAACATATCTCAATTCAAATCTAAAAAAAAAACGTTGCAATCGGTAACATATTAACCTGATACCTGACATGCGGCGAATCAAGGTTCTCTTCAATTGCGTTAAATGGTGATCCCATTTAGACAAGATCGCGGCAATTGTTCAGAAAGTCTATTTCCATCAGCTTATAAAAAAGTTGTGTTGCATGTTTCAACTTACAACAGAACTCGCAGCACTGATCACCAAAACAGGTTCCTTGCACTTGATCGGCCTATAAGAATCAAGAATTGAGGTTGATTAGAGAAACAGGTCTTTCGTCAAGCCATTGAACCGTATTGTTTTCATCTCGACAATCATGTCAACAAACTTAGCTTTACGACTGAAACAAAAACAATATTTTCACTTCCCGCTGTTTTTGCAAAAATAGAAGGTTTTGCTGGAGGCTTCGAGACATCATAGAGGGAATATTATTAGTCTGTTCACATACGAAGATTTTCTAGACTGAAAAACCAGCATTTCAAAACGTAAACAGGCTAAGCGAAGATGAAAAATCTGCTTAAATATCACAAGAACTTTTCCTGTTAAAAGTCTTCTACGTATTATAAGTAATATTGACTAGAAAGCCACCGGATTCAATTTTCTGAATGCAGATGGTATTTGAGACAAACAAACGGATTATTAAAATCACTGGCGGCCGATTTGTTTTGCTTTCGTTTTACGCACAGAAAAAAAATTA